TTTTGCTTCAGTCTCTTTGCATGTAACTTAAACTCTGAAGAATACACAGAAAAAGCATTAAATAGATAGTGAAATGTATTAATTGGGAAAGTTCATGGCTCTAAAGAGTGAAAGGACATTTCCTCGCCAGAGGGAGCCAAGGGTGACAGCACTCTGGGCCTTCTGCCACATGCTCTCTAGGAATGTGTTTTCCCTTTCTCTTGTGCTTTTTCTCTTTGTGTATTGAGCTTACCTTGAGAAATAAAGAGCAGCAATTTTGTCTAATAGGACTGGTGAATACATTATTGTCTGTAAAGTATGGTGTCTTCTGATGTACAGAGCCAAAGTTTGAAATAGTGATTTCTAACAGCAGTCCTTTTGGAAAATGCTGTGTTTTCTACCTAAAGTATTAAACTGCACTACTCTCCTCTCCCCTCTCTATCCACTTCCGAAACAAGACAGTACAGCACAAGTTGGCTGAAATAAAAACTCAGGTTTGTGTGGGCCGAGCTTTTATGGACAACTGTTTGCAGCTGCATGCAGATAAACGCCTGGACTCTGCCACAGCCTCCATGGCCAAGTACTGGTATGTGCTTACAGTCATCTGGGAGTGTTACTTGCATGATCTTAACTCTAATGATGTGGGCAACAAAAGTCAGAGTTACACTGAAAACCAAGTTTGGTTAACTATATAATTTCAAAGTAAAGGCATATTTTTAAAATAGGCTTCCATTAATAACAAGATCATGGCTCTGCTTTAGCTTTAAGTAAGTGCTCCATTGGTATTTTGACAATAATTTGCATTTTATTGTTAGCAATTTGTTGTTGGATTTTTTTGTTGTTGTTTTCTTTGTTTTTTTAATGGGGTATATGGCTTTGGTTTTTTTGAAAGCAAAATTTGAATATTGGGAGCCAAATTTAAATACATTTGAAGCTCTATGATACTGCTTAATTAACATTACTTAAGAATAGCTGTTTGACCTAGTTAGTTTTCAAAGCAATCTGGTTTTGGGAAGAAATAGTTGGCTACAGCTGTTGCTGTAATGGAGACTGAAAAAGTGCTTTCCTGTATTGTCCAGAACTACTTCTCCCTCACCCTGTACTTGATGGTGTTATATGTTAACTTAGTTTTACCAAAGCAAAACAACTGGAAATATCTAAGGTAGTGGTACACAAATTTATATAGTTAAAGCTCATTGCAAAGATGAGAGAAAAAAACCCACATGAGACACGAGCAAAGACATTAATAGAAGATACACATGCTTACAGTTTTTAGGCTTTTCAAAATGAGTATAGAGGAAATGAGCACAAATATTTACAATGGAAGGAAGGGTTTGGAGTGCTATTCCTGGCAGTGATTACCTAGAAGTACCAGGTACAGAAGCAGAGGCATTCTGTTTTGAGGAGGAGGAAAGAACTAATGCCAGCTGAGATATGCGGACTCTCTTCCTCAACAAATTTCCCTAAGCAGGGCTTTTGAAAATCCCTCACTTTCACAGCTGTTTACCATCATGATTTGTTGTGGATTTCCTCTTTCCCCAGGGGTGTCCCTGTGACCCTTCTGTAAGACTCACTTAAATGGTCTAGAAAATCCTTTAATGTAGAAATTTTATGCTTTATTCCCTAATGTACTGGGAGATTCACTCTAGTCTCAAATTCTCCTTCAAACTTCATGACTTGAGTTAGAGCCTTGAAGGATTTTAAAACCTGATTTGTATATCTTTTTTTTCATATCTGGAAATGGTCTGTAGGGTTGTTTTGGTTTGGTTTTTCTTGTGACAGGTTGTGGTAGATACCTAAAAGAATTTGAGAATATACTTAGGAAAGGCAATTGCAGTAACTCACAGCTGCAGAATTAGAGTTGATATAATAAACTGTAAAGATTTAAATGAAAGAGGGGATAGCTTGGGGAAAAGGAGAAGCAATTGGCTTTTCATTTTCATTTCTTCAGTTGCCACTGAAAGCTGCATGATTAGAAAGTGTTTTTTTTCATGTCTTCTAACTACAGCTTGAGCTTCCAGTGCAATTAATTTTTATTTTGTGCTATTAAATCCATATTTTGTGGTCAACAAATGCTGTTGGAGAATTACAGTATGTTTAGAATTGAAAGCAATTACAGAAAAGGTTATTGGGAAAGTTTATTGCAGAAAATAAATTATGCCCAGGTGATGGTTATGCTCAAAGAGTATCCCTGTGTGTTGCTAATGGCAGTGGTGGGGGAAGCCTGGTTTATTGTTAATTTCTGACAAAGCTGAGGGATTTGGCAAGAAAAGACTGTATCGACTTCCTTCACAAAAGAATTCTCTTGGCCTGTGAGAAAGGTAAACAAGCCTGTCTGTTTTGAAACCTTTCCTTCTCCGAAAGCTGTCCCATAAAGGGAGCAAACCTTTAATGCATTAAATTGAGCAGTCTTTATTTCTTACTAATCAAGTTATGTTTTTGTCTTGTTAACATATCTTTATCTTTTGTAATATAATGTCCTTCTAAAAGCAAATTTCCTTTTGGCCATTTAAGGTGTTCTGATCTCCAAAACAGCGTAGCTACCCAGTGTGTACAAATGCACGGAGGATGGGGGTACATGTGGGAGTATCCAATTGCAAAGTAAGTGTAACATTTCAGATTGTGTGATGAGAGATTACCAGCAAAGTCAAATGAGGCACTTCTTTTGCATCTCTGTGTTAGCTGTTTAGTGTTAGTAGTGATTTAGTGTTCCTTTTCTCATGTTTAACTGAAAGGGAATCTGCTGTACAGATGTCTGCAGGAAGGCTTTGTTTTGATTCTTCAAAAAAACACAAAACCTGTTCAGGAATTATTGTCTTTTTTCACAAAAGAGAAGTTGGGTTTTAGAAGAAAATGTTAATTGAAAAAAAAAAAAAAAGAAGCAAAACTATAAAAGTAGAGATGAGGAGAGCTAGTTTTATGTTTTATCTGAAATTAAATGTATATGGGTGAAGACAATGTGTTGGTCAGCTACCACTGAGTATCAGATCATTAAATCAAGATTGTATCTGGCTACAGTCTGATTTTTTACACATTTTAAAATGAAAAAGTTGAGATTGATATGTAGAAAAAGAAATTTGCTATTCCCATTTTTTTCTGATTTTATGAATTTAGAGATATTTATGGGGCTTTTGTATATATCCGCATATATTATCTGTGAAGTTTGTGTACAGCCTGTGTGACACACCCAAGTGGAGATTTTGGTGCTGTTTTTAATAAATAAATCAAAGAGGTGGTAATCTTGACAGTAGAAATAGCACAAACACAGGACTGCTGTGCAGCTGTGATAAGTAAGCTATTTCTTTTAACTGAGGAGGTTTAGATTTTACTTAAATTCTAAATACATTAAGTATGAAATGTTGCTTTAAAATAACTTGTTCCTCCATGTTTTCATTTAGTGTAATTTGTGAGTGATCTGCGCTGTCTTGTTAAAGAAGGCCAGTTTGGGGTGTCCTTGAACCCCTGCTTGTCTGTGTGTACAGTAGTTCCTCGCAGAAGGTTTAATTATCTCTATGATCCAGTAATATGTATGTTTCCAGAGAATGCCAAATTACTCCTGTGTGATGAAGCAGAATGAAGATGGAAAAGCTCTGTCATCATCCTGTGTGCTGTCACCAGGAGCAAGAATTGGGAGTGGAGTAGAAGCAGGAGTCTTGGTTTATAGGGCTTTTTTTTGTTTAATTAGAGGCAGTAGTGGAGACTTTACACTATAAACAAACAGGGAAGAGATGCTGACCCAGTTCCTGGTTTGGAACACAGCACCCTGGAAAGTTGTAATATTCTAGGTAGTTGAAGCCCCTTAGAAAATAAGAACTACTTTATCAGTGGGAATAGTATACTTTAAAAAGAGGGATCTCTAAAGATAAAATGCTCTCTTTTTTTTTGGTTGTGTGGTCATTTTGAGGAGTTGTTTGTAATATTTCCTTGTTTTGTTTTTTCCTCCCTCAGAGCTTTTGTGGATGCCCGTGTTCAGCCAATCTATGGTGGTACCAATGAAATAATGAAAGAACTTATTGCTAGAGACATTGTCAGTGACAAGTAGGGAAGATGCTTACTACTTTGCAGATTCTTGTAGAATCCTTTTCTATGTTAATATATGGCATAAAATCAGACATCAGAATGTAAGTAAAATATGCTGTATAATATTCTTTAAAGGAAGTGACACAAAGCACATGTTAGTAATAAGTGTGCTCACATGCAGGATATCTAATATTTAATTAACTTAAAATTTAAACGTCTTTGTACAACACGGAGTGGTTCTCTGTGTGACAAGGAGCTGGGGTGGTGAAAGGCAGTTTTATCTCTGGAACATTGGGTAGCTTGGTCTTTCAGACTTGAACCCATTGTGGTGAATCCAAACCCCGCTTGTATTGAGTATTGAGAGACCCATATTCATAACAAATAAACAAAATTAAATATTAATGTAACTTTGAATTTGTATTTCCCCTTGAGAAGCAGAACTTGACACTCTTGCTGTCGTTGCCGTACACCTGCTCGCTGTGCAGCAGGCACCTGCTGTGCAGCTGACCTCTATGTTTACATCTAACCCGGAATGCCTTATTTTAATTACTTTGGTCAAACAAACATAATAAAGCATTTCTATGCAATCTCATGCCTGTTTGCGGTTACTTCAAAGCCCGCGGGGAAACGGGGCTTCTCCTTCTGTGCCCGTGTTTACCTCAGGGCGCTGAGGGGGGGGAGTTGGGAGGGAGGCAGTGTGATGCAGGCGAACTTGAGGGCTGCTTGTTGGCGATAGCACTGGGAAGGTGCGCGTTTAGGAGTGTTTTTAGCTCGTTACGGTGCTGGGCGCTAAGGGTTGGAGCGGTCCGGAGCGGGAGCGGCGCCGCCGCCTCCGCGCCCTCACGGCCCCGGCGCGCGGGCTGAGGGGAGGGCGGTGTCCGCGCGTCAGGCGCGGCCCCGCCAATGGCGGGAGGCCACGCCCCCGGCCCGAGCCCCGCCCCCCGGCGCCGCGGATTGGCCGCGCTCCTCCCCCTGAGGAGCGGGGGAGGCCCCGCCCCGCCGCGCTGCGCTTTAGCTGGGCGCGGACTCTTCAAGAGCGGCAGTGTGAGCCGTGGCGGGCGCCGTGCTGTGCGGGCTTGAGGCGGCGCCGGCGCCGCTGCCGCTGCCGAGAAGCCGCCGGACGCGGAGGCAAGCGCGGGGCGCGACGCGGCGGGGGCGCCGTGAGGCGGCGGGGGGCACGGAGGGGCCGGGCGGCGGTTGGTTCCCGCGGCGGGAGTGGCGGGTGCGCATGCGCGGGGTGGGGGCGGGGCGGGCGGTAACGGTCCGTGCGCGCGGCGGGGCGGGGCCGGCGCTGTGAGGCGGGGGCGGGGCGGGCGCGCGGGGCGGGGCGGGGCCGCTCCGCGCCCCCCCGCGCGTCCCGGCCGGGGTTTGAACGGCGGATGGAAACTCGGCGCTGCTGACCGAGCAGCGGGCTGCCGTGCCCGCGGGCTGCCGTGCCCGCGGGCTGCCGTGCCCGCGGGCTGCCGTGCCCGCGGGCTGCCGTGCCCGCGGGCTGCGTGCCTCGGGGCACCCCGGGCCGCGCTCCCCACGCCGCGCACCGCCCGCCGAGCTGGGCACAGCGGCCAGAGTGGATAGCAAAGCTGTGGGGAGCCGCTCGGATCCACGGCCTGCCCTGACAGCTCCTCTCTGCTCCTCAGCTAGGCTGTCCATCCGCGTTCTGCAAAACGAAGCATCCCTCACCCTAAAAAATGTAGCAGTGACTGAGGTATTCCGAACCTACCCCTCTCTGACGGGAAATTAGATTTTTAATTTCCAGTTTGCAGTGTGAGAGGATTAAAAATCCAAATTATTAAAGTATGCCTTTTGTCGAAGGGTAAATACTTCCTTTTAGTGCTAGTTTAATAAAAAGGAAATAGTAAAAATTACACTGATGGATGTACCATCTCAGAAAGCAGTCTGTGTGCCTTAGGACTCTCCTGCTGTATTAGTCCATGGTTTGAAATCCTGGGGAATGTTCTGAGAAGCTTAAATTCCAGTCACCTTAATTAGTGTCTTAAGAGCTGAGTGGGTCTCATTTAAGACCAGGTTTTATAGCTCTCTCTTCCAAGGCTGAAATTCTCAAGTATCACCAAAATATTGACATGGAATTTACGATGAAAGGTACCAGAAGGTATTGCAGATATTTCTGTTGGAGGCATATGTGCAGCTTTCTTACAGAGGCACCTGTTGTACTACAGAAAGCATTTAACATATATTAAAAATTACTTCAGATGTTGCTTTGCAAATATGGTGTTATAGACTGAACAAGAATTAGTTGATAATGTGGTAGTAAAATTGGAAATTATATTGATTCTTTGTTCAGATCAGATCTGAACAAGGAAGAAAACAAACATGTTCAGATATTTTAATGAGTCGTGGATTTTGCCATAAATTAGTACTGATGAGTTCCACTTGAAGTGCCTTCTTTTGGATGTTTTTTATGATTCACACTTTGGGTGGTCTGCCTTAAATGGAGATCTCCTAGTGTTCAAAGAGAGATCCTTTTGTGGGGAGGTGGTGTGCTGTATTTTGGTGGGTTTTTTTTGGTTGTTTTTTTTTTTCCCAAATAGGAGGAATTTGTTTTTATATCTCCTGAGGTGTACAGAAACTAGAATGTTTTGTCTGGATGGTTGTGCCTGCACGGTGAGCGCTGCTGAACGTTGAGACTCCCCACATAAACCTGTTTGGGTTTATGGGTTTTTCCCAATCTATTAATAGAACAAAATACTAAAATGCTTAAATACACATCATGAGTAACTGGTCTGCTTTTGAAGTGAAAACAAAAGCTGCCTACTGAAGTGATTTTTTTTTTCCACTCTTAAAGGCTGGTCCCAGGTGTGTTATTAAACATAGGCTTCTTTTCTTTTCCTTTCATACTCCTAACCAGGACATGCCCAGTGGGACCAATATCTTTTTTACGGTCATTGCTGCAGAGTATTCCATGAGAAAATGCAGACTGTGCTATCAAGCTGTTCTTGCTATTCTTAGAAATCACTACCATCCAGTAGGTTTTCCAAAACTTGGGAGGGGTAGTTAAAGGCTGAGGCTGCCTCCCACCAGGCAAGGCTTGCAGAAGCTGGCCAGGCTCAGGTCCCGTGCGCTGCGCTCGGCTGAGGCAGTGCTGCAGCAGTGCCTGCCTGCCAGAGCACTTTATTTTTGTCCAGTGATTATCAGGAAGGCTGCCCAGGAGGAGCTGGGGATTACAGGACAAGCAGCACAAAGCTGTAGGAAACCAGGTTTTGGCAGTTGTGTTGCAATCTGCTTTTGTAGCTGCCCTCTCTTCTGCAGGTTGTCTCTTAGAGGTCTTAAAAGAAGTTGAAATACAGTATTTTTGAGCATTCTTGTTGAGATTAATTTTGGATGTTTCACCAGAGGCTGTCTGCTGTCAGGGACTTTGCTTTGCTTTTGAAATGCCACCTATGCAAGGAATAAACAGTGGAAGTTGGCTTATCTGAAACACTGTTTATCTGTGAATAAGCTGGAAACACTCATATTAATTTAAAATGTTGTTTGTAGGCTTCTGAGTTTCAAAACAAAAAGAATTAATCGTGAAAATCTCCTCTTGGTCTCGAGGAATCTCATTATTTAGAAGAAAATTTCAGGTGTTTATTATGAAGAAAAATGACTCCATTTACAAGGAGAGAAGGCTCCTATAGAGGAGCTTTTAAAAGCCTCATGCAAGTGAAGTTTTATTGTCATTGGAAACTAAAAGATCACAAACAAAAAAATCCACTAAAAGACAAAGCAATCTTCCCCACAAGCAAAAATCCCCCAGAACACTGTCTGCAGTGTTGTGTAACCAAAGTGATAGTGTTATGCAAGGGGGAGAAGAGTCAAAAAGTGAAAGGACTGTAAACAAAAGCTGGGAAGGGAGGGAGTGCCACCCTGTGTGCAGGGTTGTGGCTGGGTTTTGTTGTGTTTCTTTTAAAAGGGTGCTGCTAATCACAACATGAAGACACTAGTTTCAGGATTTAGGCAAATTCTGTTGAGGTAAGCCTGGTAGGGACAGGGTATAAGGAAGAAGTGTCAAGGGAGGACAAAGAAATCAGCAGAGGGAGAAGAAAGGTAGAGGAGCGGGAGCCACTGGGGGATTAGGAACCTGTAGCTGCAGTGGTGGAAGGGAGCAGGGTGCAGGTCTGGCTGTGGTAAACTGCAATTCCCAGCTCTATCCTCCTGGATAATTAAGGCATTAGGGGAGGATAAGCATAAAGTAACTTTAAACATCAGTTGCTTTACTTTGTTTGTCTGGTACTTGTTTCTTCCCTTCCCTAGTACTTATTTAATGTCATTTTTTTCATTTTACAGTACTTTTTAGTCTTTCAAGTGGAGTGTTTATTCAGTAGATGAAAAGCAAAATGTTTGCCAGTTTAGCAGAATTTCAGCTGTTCTGGTTTTGAAACCTCAAGTAATAACACAATGCAAAAGAAATCTGTGAAATGGTTTACCTGTGACAAAAAAAGCTTTTTCCAAAAGGAAAGTACTTTTCTGGTGTACCATTTTGTAGTACTTGTCTTCCCTCCTTCTTTGCCTTTATTTTTTTTTCCTCCCTCCAAGATACTAGGGTTTGCTCTGGAAACTCACTTCCAATATAGGTGGAATGAAATAATTTTTGCAGCTTTCTGCCAAAATTAAATAAAATGTGTAAAAACGTAAACTGTATAACTTTTGTCAAGCCAAGTACTTGTACTAAAATTTGCTTATATTTTCTTTGCAGCAGCTACTTTGTTTTGCTTCTATACCTATGACATTTTTGTGTGTGTGAACTTTTGCAGAAATGCCAAGGGCTGTTACTATGGTAGTACCAGCTTTTATAAGTTCTTTTTGATGTCACTGTAGTGAGATGAGCACACCTGAGTGTCTCACACTGTCTTCAGGGCAAAAACATGGCATGAAATTTCCAAGTTGCTGGGTAAAGGATTGAGTGATTTCCCCCTTAAAAAGCATTTTACTTATTTTTCAGCTTCTTTGTAGTTTAAGCATACTTGGTCGGGCACTCTAAATGAATGATTTGTCAATGCTCTTTAGTTCAGTGTTTGTGTTCCACATGAGAGTGTTTTGATTCTTCCCCTCTTTCCCCTAGAAGAGTTAAAAAGAAGTCCCCCAGATGAAAAAAAAAAAAAATTTGTATTCATTGCAGTTTTGGAAATTTGAAACTGTACCAAAGGAGTATGTGGTATTTGAGGGAATGTGATGGAGTTAAAACACAGCACTGTAAAGTTTTGTGCTGCCAGTTCTTTGAATAACCTCCATCTTCATACAGGTATGTGATCCACATCTCCAAAGTACTTTTTTGCCTTAACAGCTCCACTGTGTGTGGATGTTTCCTGGGTTTCAGGAGTAGCAACCTGTGCCTGCTAAACACTCAGACTAAGGGAGGTGGATGGTAAAGTTGGAACAGTTATAAATACATTGTTGGGTGAATGGAGATCCCAGGCTGATGGTGCTCTTCTTGGAGAGCTTCTTGGAATTCTCAGGAAGAGGTCAACCACAGGGACTCCTGAGCTCACATTAAACCCACAGAGGAACTGTCCAGTTCTCTCCCCTTACGTTTTAGCCATGCACAGTTTGCTCTGACTTGCTATAGTTATCTGCCATTACATAAGGGCCAGGGAGGCATTGGTGTCTGAATTCACACTCCTTTGGATTTACAAATTTGTAGGCCTGCTAGCTTTTACAAGAGGAAAGACACGAGTCAGCCAGGTGCTGAGAGCATTACTGAGTCACCAGAGCACTTAAGATTTGGAGCTTCAGCTCTCAGCAGTTTATTCCCCTGTCTAATCCTAGAATGGGGTTCTTCCTGAACAGCTGTGCACTGGGAGGCCTTTGTGCTGAGCTCCTCTTTAGGCTGAAGTTACTGGCTTATTTATAAAGGTTAAAATCCTGGGGATTTTAATGGTATCATTTTCAATTAGCAGTAGGACCACCAAACCTGCTGCCAGTGATGCTAGGAGCATGATGTGCAGAGATAAAAACCTTATGGATGAAGTACACATAGAGCAATGAAAGGTGAATAAAGCACACAGAAGGTGGTAAGGCAGTACTGGAGCATGTGGCTCCCTATGTTTTGCTTCACATTTTGAGGGTTAAGGAGCAGGTATCCAAACTGGTATTGCTCAGCTCCCTAGGTTGCCATGTCTCACTTTAATGTTTGCACCTTCAGTGCAAAAAAACTGTAGTTATAAACAAGCTGAGGCTTCAGACAGATCTTTTCTTAAGAACCGTATGTGGCAGTCTCAGAATCATTGACCCCTTATGGGATCTGTGCATTGGAAGTTGCTGAGCTAGGCAGTTACTGTGGAGTTCAAGGAAACTGGAGACATTAAAAGGAGGGGGGTGCAAGTGCTGCTCAAGTAGTACACAGTTTAACAGAATTTACTGTGGCATTGCTGTGCTGCACTCACTTTTGCTACTGCTCTCATATGGTTTCTGGTTTTGTCTCTAGCTTCTTAAAGAAGAGCTGACAGGAACTTACCTTTCAGGCTTCTCCAGGCCATGTTCAATTAAGTCATTTATTTGGTTTATTTAACCATCTCCTAAAGAAAGCTGTAAGTAGGATGCAAGTGATTCCTGCTTGGAGGTGTTAGGGCATAGGTTGGACTTGATCTTAGAGGTCTCTCCCAACCTCATTATTCTGTGATTCTGAGTAGATACAGTATGACTTGGCAGCATAGCTGCTGACAGGAAGGGGTGAAGGTTGACATTGGTCTTTTGATCCCAAAGTCTAGGAGCCCTTTGTTAATTGGCAAGCCACAAGCAAAAGGATTTGTCAATGAGAACTGTCATTTCTCAATTTGTTATGAAAAATAATCTGTGTGTATTACACAGACAGTGCCTCATTAATAGAGTGGTATCCAAAGGCACAGGAAAGAATTCTTTTTTGGTAGGAAACTTCAGAACTTAGAGTTTTCTATTTTGAAAGCATTAGCTTTGTTGATTGGTTTCTAATGTGTATTTATAAGAATATATAATAATTCATCAAATGCTTTCTTTATATAGATTTACAGTAAATCTGTTTCTCACAACAGTGCTAGTCACATTGCTCAAGGTCATGTTTTTTAGTTTGGGCAAGGTTAGATGACAGACCTGAACTTTTTGGGTCTTATTTCTCAGACTGATAGAATCAAAAATGAAATGAGGTATGAACAGTTATTCCCCTGAGATGTAAAGGCTTTCATTGTGCATGGAACAGCTTCTGAATGAAATAAAGAAAAAACAGAAAGGGTGTTTTTATTTGACTTGGGAGGCAACATAGCCTGTGTTCTTTAGATAACGTCTCTTTTTATGGAATTTTTGAATGATGTTGAGAGAATGAAATGTCTTAACAGAGTTCTTGTATTTGTACTGTGTCATGAAAATGAGAAAATTTACATGGCCCGTGTTATTTTCAGGTTTGCTGTAAACTACCTACCATAGCTATAATGACACCAGCTCTCAGAGAGGCAACAACAAAAGGTCATGGTATCCACTTGTCACCTTCTTTGTCCTCTAGAGCTATGGAGTCTGATACAGCTTTGTGCATGGAAAATTCCAGAGCAGTGGAAGAGAAGATAAAAGAGGACTCCATCGCACGGATTACTTGCTCAGTCCTGGGGTTCTCCACTGCTGAGCCCAACCTCAGGAATGACATGTTCAGTGTGCAGCATTTTGGTTCCCCACCGTCCTCCAAGTGCTATCAGTCTGTCTTGTTAATGGGTACAAATTCTGCGTTTAACAACAAAACTGGTAAGCAAACAAAAATGGGAGACCCTGACTGCTCCAAGATGAGAAAGTCATTACATAATGGGGCTGACACATCATTTGGTCATATTAGTCATTCAGAACCTGAGCAACAGGTGAAAGGGGCAGTGTTTTCAGAGACCACATCTCCAAACTTGGCAGGAATGCAGAGACTTTCAGGTTCAAGTGTAACTGAATCCACTAACGCAGAAGAAATGCAACTTTTAAATGGTAAATGGTACAAGAAGAATGGGGTTTTGGGTAGGGCTTTGGAAGTCCGCACTGAAACAATAAAAGGGGATTTATTACACCAAATTCTTCACGGGCCTTCAGAAGGGATTTTGAGCTGCACCCAGGAGGAGGTGTATGCTCGCTTACTCCAGTGTGTCACTAAGCAACAAATGGAAATCAGTCGCGCCAAAAGAACTCAGAAGCGTTTACAAATGCTCCTGGCAAAGCATGTTGTCAAACACTGTGATCAGCAGCTGAAATGCTTTGTGAAACATCAGCTTCAGAGAATGAAGGTTTTCCATGAGCCAGCTAGATTTTTGAGCAATAGCTCCCTCAGATGCACTGAAGGTTGGCCGGAAAACAACACAACTACTTTGGAGAGTAGTTTGAGTGTGGATGTACAGAACGGAGTTAGCGTCGCACCGGGTGAAATCCGTGGCTTTGCACTTTCTACTGGAGGGCTGCTGTCTCGTGTGGAGAAGGACCTGGACTCTGATGCAACCTGTAGCAGCTCAGATGAAGATGGTGAGGAGCAGACTGTGGAAGCGTAAGTGTTAAATTCCTGCTTAGACTCGTGTGCTTCTTACTTATAAATCAGGATGGAAGGGTCTAGACCTACAGAATCCATCTTGTGTGAGTAACCTCACTCAACAGATAGTCTTACAGAAATCAGCTAGACTGACAGTGTGAGCTGGGTTTGGCAGGAAGTAAGAACATCTAATTAATGCATTTAAGGAGCAGTTGCTTTACTAGAATTGCAGAGAACTAGAGTTTGTACTGCACTCTCCCAGTTTGCATTACATCAATACTGCTAATACTTGAATGGTGCTGTAAATCAAATAGTGATTGCTGTAAATACTTGGGGCCAGAATGAAAATAATTTTAATTTTACTCTGGAGTTATTAATAATTAGTCAATATTAGGATCTTGAAATCCACTATATTGTGATAAAGAGTAAAAATTAAAAATTATCTTCTGATGCAGGTATCAAGCCATCCAGTATTTGGTGATTGGTATATTGAAAAAGTTTGGTTCTTTAACTTTTAATTTTAAAAATATTAATTTACTTCCTGAAGTCACTCTACAACTATGAATGTAGCTAGCAGTGGAGGTTTTATTATTGCAGGTATCTTTTTCAGGATGAACCAGAGGGAAATTAATGTCATTAACTTGTAGTGTCTTAAGTTGGCAGGAATCCTGTCAGTGCAAATTACAAATCAGTGGTGGGTAAGAGGAGATAGTAAAATTGCTCTCTGATAAAGGTATAACCTTTTTTCTTTTTTTTTTTTTTAACCTCTAACTTGCTGCATTGTTAATCTCTTCAGTCAATAAATTTTAGAAAGCCGTGAAAGGACAGTTGCTTTCCTCTTCCCAAAGCTGGAGAGATGAGCATGTCTTAAGGTTTGTTGGATATAATAGTCAGGACTGTGATACACAGAAGAGAGCTGCACACAAATGCAGCAACTTGGTGGGAACTTCATGATACCCACATTTCTCATGGGCTCTTACAAGTTAGTCAGGACAGGGTTTGTGTTTACTGGTCTTTCCCGCTGCTGTCAGAGAGTGTCTAGAAAAAATTAATTAAAAATACTTAAAAACACTTACTTCACATTCTGCTTCCTGAAAAGCATAATGCTGAGAAGAAATCAACTAAGCTTCTGAAACTGGAAGAGCTTTGCCCTGTTAAATGTTTATAGCTTCAGTCTAACAAGGCTGTATCAACTCTCTGCTGTGTTCTGCTAAACTCTGTAGGCTGAAAAACAGAGGAGAAAATATTTTCATTTTCTTTTACATATTATCAGAATGGTAAATATTATGCTGAAGTCCAGCCAAAGCATAATGTAACTTGCCAGCTAAGTTACAAGCACCTTAAATATTTGAGTTTGGAGAATAATTATTCTCTTGAAATATTTTAATAAAAACATCATTTGGGCTCTCCCCAGCATAGGAGAATCCACATTCTTCTTCTAACTAATATACTTGAATTTCTAAGTAATATCTCTGTTCTAGGATTCTTATGATAAGAACATGAACTGAAAAAGAAAACTCTTGAGAAGTTCTTGATTTTTGAACGGTTGTGGATAACGTAAAACTTGGACCAAAGTTTTGTTGTGATGGTTTTCTTTTTCCTTCCTGCCAGGGACACTTGAATTTCTAACTCTCCCTGCCAGTCCTTTAACTTTACTCCTTCTTGTGGCTTTTGGCGGTTATCTTTCCACTTAAGGCTCACGCAGTTTACTTTGTTGCGCTGATGAAAAAAATCCACAGAGGATTATTAAGTGCAAACCCATTACCTTTGGCTCAGGAAATCCCCAAGCTGCTATTGCTGGGAGCTGAGGGAATGTTCATATTGCCGGAGAGGCACTGCTCCCTCCATGCCTGCACTGTTGTAATATTGTTATCTCAGCTATTGCTGGGAGGCAGCAGAGCTGGGTAAGATGATCTATAGTCTGACTCAGTGTGGCCCTTTATTTTGAGTTGTTTATTCTTCTCCCTTTCCTTATGTTCTTACTGATGAGCAGTTATTCAGCAGCGGCGGCCTTGCTGTCTTGGGAGGGAAGGAATCACTGGCGTTTGAGGTGTGCTGCTGGGCCAGCAAGCTCAGAGTTAAAAGCACTGCCTGATTTAAGCAAAAGACTTGTCTGTGTGCCTAGGCTGAGGCAATGCTTGAATTAACATGCAGTGAGGCTGTCTCTTATTTGAATTTATCATTATCTTCATCTCAGAATGTTTTTCTTCTTTTCTCTGACCTTCCTAAAATTTGCCTTTGGGGCTAAAATGCTGCCCTTTTTTCTTCGAGGTAACAAAGGTAAGTCAGTTATTCACTGGTTCAGCTGGTGAGATTTGCTGTTTCCTGAGCCTTGCCACTTTTAAGGCCTTCTGGATTGCCTTTCCTCGGGAAAAAAGAAACAAAGTTAATATCTCTTTTTATTTCTGCTGAGTGGATTTATATGCTTTGAATTGCCTTTCTCTCCTTGGGAATTGGCTATATGTGCTTTCCAGAAGCAATGGGATCATGTAGGTGAGACAATACTAATTTCCTCACCTATATGGAAATTTTTATTTTTCATAGTGAGGGCTTTTACTCTGAATTCCTCTGTGATAATCCTCATAATATGTAACTGTAGTTGCTATAAGGTTCAAGTAATGTAGCAATGAATGGAAAGAATGTTTTGGTTCCACCCATATCTCAGTGTACTGATTGCATTTAACTTGAGGGTATGATCACGGTGGTGACTGATCGTTGTTGTGACTGTGGTGTTTCTCATTCTTTTTGTTGGGGGAGGAGGTATATCAATCCAATGTGCAAGGCAGGGAGGAACCTGCAGTAACCATGTCTGCCAGAGAACAGTCTGTTTCCCATCAGGAGGGAGAAGTTGCTTCCAGCTCCAATTCCTCATGCTACATAACAAACCTAGAGTTATTTTTAGCGTTTTGAACCTGTTCATTCTCATTATCCTGAAAAGAGATTTTCCCAATGAGTATTGACATAAGCTCTTCTGAGCTGTATCTCAATGCTTTGTAGCTCAAGTAAGATTGTCTTTATCCATCTATTTCAATACCTTTGTTGTTGAGTTGCAAATAGCTGTTGTGAGATATTTAAACCATTGTTCCTGCATTACATAGATTCTGTCCTCAAGATGAGAGATCCTTGGTCTACTGGTCAAGGCAATTCACAGTACTTAACAAACTTCTCTAGTTCCTAGAGTAATTGGAAAGACTTATTTCAAGAGTTTAATCAAAACATATTTTATGCCTTTCTGAGTCTACTAAAAAGAAATATGAAAAAAAATAGGCTGTCTTCAGCACCTTTGTCATTTTGCTGTTACTGTCAGCTCATGAATGTCTTTAACCTGTCAGTTTTCATAGCACCACATTTCCAACAGTAATATTTGGTGTATTTTAGGACACTCCATCCTTTGGGCATAGGAAATTTTCTCATAGGGATTCTCTCATGGGTAGTCCTTCTCTGTAATTTTCCAAAAGCAGCTTTTAGGTGCTGCTCTCTGGCTCACTGTTAGGTGTTAGAAACCAGAGCAGAGAGAATACCCAAGGAAGGTAACACAAAGCTGACAACGAGTAATTCCTTTAGGGATTCATAACTAACACTTGGTTTGCAACATAGGCAACATTTCACCAGATGAATTTACTTGAAACTTGTTGATCTTTGTGGTTCATGAAGATGAAAGATTATACATAGAAATAGTCATAGATTTCAGACAAGGTGAATTGGATGATGATGTGAGATCAAAGGTTTTTCAATAATACAGCTCCACTCTGACAGCAGAGTGTATCCTGCTAGGCCAGCTCTTCATTCTTATTGATGTATTTTGTGTCTATTCCTGATGTAGTAGGAGAACTCTGATGCTCATCTAGTCGTTTAGGAAACCTTTAAAGTTGCAGAGTGCAGAGTTTTACTTCTATGAGTTTTTCTACATGTGTGATCTTCCAGAGTCAAGATGTATCACTGTGGTTCTTTGAAGAAACAGCCGCTCACTCCATCAAACAGTAGGACATGCATCTAATGGATTAGACAGAAAACCTGCTTGCAGTAGATTTTTTCTGCAAAATAAGTAGCTCTTTCTACTCATGACAAATCCTGTGCCTTGTTTTCCCAGTTCTCCTTTTCCTATCCAAATACAATCCTTTCGCATCATTTGGTGGGATTTTCTCTGTGAAATGTTTTCATGCTTTTCCCTCTGATTTCTGAAAGACATGTTTTACTGATTATCCTCCAGCAACCTCAAGCCTGACGAAGACTCACTGTTATATTTTCCATGCCCACAGGATTTGTTGTGCCTGGAAACTTTTATAATGAATGTGAAGAGATAGTAAATCTTTCTTTTTTTTTTCCCTCTCCTTTATTTTTTTTCCCCCTAAGATTGCTAGTTGGAAAGAGAAGATGGGAAATCTGCTTTTAGTACAAACATGTGATTGGGAGGGGAGCATTAAGGCAGAGAAAATAAAGGAAGGAAGAAAACATTATAAGTAGCATCTCCAGATCTAATATTTTTGTTATAGATTATTTTCCATTTTTCCTAGCATTTTTTCCTTGTGGCTAACTAAGCAACATCAATGCAGTTCTGCAGGCCTGGCAATACATGGCACTGCTTAAGGGACATGGTTTATTGCAAGTCTTGGAACCACGTTATAAAGGAGGCTGTTTGTTTTTGCAAGGTCAGGTCTTAATTTTCCACACTGAGCTGTAATTTCACTTCATGCCTGATATGAGAACTGAATTACGAGTTTGGGAAGGGGTGGAGGAGAGTCTGCCAGGACAAAATGCTGCTCTTAGGCACAAACTCCCACTTGTTTCCTGGTTTTAACACCTTTTTAACTTAGAAGTCCAGGAAATGTCTTATTTGCATAGAAGATTAATACGAGGACTTTTGAATAAGTATACATTCATGGGTGCAAATAATATGCTGATGTAAGAATGTTTTATATGTTGCTTTTCAAGAATTCCATTTTCTCAATTCTTGGCTCCTATCGCAAGGATGTGGGAGGAGAATGAAAGAAAAGATAGCTTTACATTACCTTCTGTTT